CATTAGAGCCCTAAGGGAGTTTGACGCTTAGGGGAGAATGAGGCATCATTACCTCACGATTTCGTTGTCACAGAAATCTCTAAGATACCTTAACGAACGAAATATGAATGAAAGAATTGATATTGATGAGTATGCCTCTACACCTCTGCAATTTTTTATCACCGATCAAATCAAATCAAATCTGTCTTTATTGCATGTGTAGTGTACAGAGATGGTCTATTGATGATTGTTGGGCATCGCAAAGCACTTCAAACTAATATCAATGGACCAATCGTCACAAATGACCGCTGAGACTATCAAGCCCGGTCTCCGAGCCAGCTTTTTGGTATGCTGATTAGAAAATAAATATTGATTCCGTATAAAGCCATTGTCGTCTATCATTGGTTGGTTACTGAGTCAAATTAATATATAAAAATACAATTTCATATAACAATATTTAGTACATATAATAAACCTGGATGATTTTACTGATCTAAAATGATGATATCAAATCATAATAATATTATTCCTAAACCAAACAAATGGTGAATTTTGTTTTTTAACCTTATCAATCCTATAATAATCTTCCGAGTAAAAAACGAGTTATAATTCTGAGTATAACATGTAACCACATAAGTGGAATACTGAAATCGTAACACGTAGACACGACTAAAAAGGCTTAACAAAACAAAACGAAATAGGAAAGTCGAAATTTGAAAGGTCATTTGGAACCCTCGCGAGTTTTAACTGCTGAAACGAAGTGGCAAAGCCTTCTGAAGTAAAGGTCAAAGGTGAAATCTTGTGTACCATACATGTAGCACTGATACTATGCTAAATATTTGATGGACCAAGTGCTCAAGTGGAATAATTCAGTTTGTATGTGTGTGTAAGTGATGCGACAAGATTAGAGGCTTTGACTCCGCAGCGCTGCAAATGAAGGGAAACGCTTTAATTAGCGCTTTATTTGTACTGTACACTCATGGGGCCGTCTAGTAAATCTCCATTTTAATGTGCGTCTGCTTAGCATTTAAATTGTGGTTCTTGATTGAAATTCTTTTATTTTTACGATTCAGTTCTTGTGATTGAGATGTGATTTTACGAGCTTTATTTCCAAAATTCTTGTCATATACGTAAGTTTGCATTTCAATTTGTTTTTGATAATGTTATTCAGAATACTTTTTATAATTTCAAAGTGAATAATATAAAATGTTTCTCATTTTAAAATATTTTGACGGCTTTGAAGAAGTAAAGCTAAAGCTGAAATTGGACTCGGTACAGCCAGTAACTTTTCCGTTCCACAAGTAGCTACGAACCTACCTACAATAAACATAGGATACACAACGTACGCACGCATAAGGCACAGATGTTGTTTCGCTATAGAAAATACGATATGTGGGTTTCTCTGTCCCGAAAGTTTTCATACGGCTGGATGAATTTTAATGAATGAGGTGTCTATCGATTCATCGCATGTGCGCGGCTCAATGAGCTTGAATATTGTTGGTGTATTATTGTAGTAACGAAACAGGAACGTTATTATATAAATGCGTAGGTAGACCTGTGTTACCTAAATCTATCGACTGATAAACCTCAACTTCCAGAATGGCTTCATTGTGATTCTCCGCACGCGCTTGGTTCAGTTTATTGGGTCATACTTTGACCGTTTTTATTATGGCGTTTATTATATTTTTGTACTATGGATAGGCACTTTTTTTTTGTGAGGGGAAAATCATCAAATGACTTCTCCCGCCCAGGGCCGGGCAGGAGGGAGTGTCAGACTCTTACTGACTAAAAACCCCCCTGTTCCTTCTCCCGCTCTGTGCCGAGGTTGCGGTACCTCATTGCGCTTACCCCGCAACCCCGGCTGAACATCAGCCCTTGGGGGCCCCGTCTGTGGTGGTCGAATGGCTCTTTGAGGCGCGCGCGGAACGCTACGCGCCGTACGCTCGGGCCTGGTTCTGGTCGGGCGGCGAGCTGCCCTTACTCGCCGACCGTAGGCCCGTGCTTACGGTGGCCGGAGATCGTCCCTCGATCCCCGACGCCCGTAGTGTCGCCAGTTGCGGCTGCTGGGGCGTGAGGAGGAGGATTGCTCCCTCACGCGGGCCGCCTCTCTCTTTGCGAGCATGACTGCTTCACAAAAGGAGGAGACGGCGTCCCAGTTCCTCTCACTCCGCACCATGGCCTCGACTAAGGCCGGGCGCGAGAGGTCGCCGCCGCCGATCACTTCCCTGAGGATACGGCGGTGCTCAGCCCAGGCAGGGCATACCGCTACCGTATCCTCTAGGTGGTCCTCACAATGACGACACTCGGGCGTTTCCTCCCGCTGGATCCGAAACAGGAACCTACCGAAGCTGCCGTGCCCGGTAAGCACCTGCGTCAGGCGGAAGGTGAGGACGCCGTGGCGTCTCTCAAGCCACTCCTCAAAGAGGGGTCTTACCGCTGCTATAGTAGCGTGCCCGGCCCTCGGTTGCGATAGACGCTGCTTCCACTCAGCCATGAGATCTCGCCGAAGCTCATTCCGCCACGCACTAATTTGGCGCGGCAGAGGATCCTCGCCCCGGCGACGCGCGTCTGCGCGCAAACTGTAGACGCGCGCGAGCGCCTTCGCTTCCAGATCCACTATGGATAGGCACTGGATTTCCTGTTATTAATATTCGAGTTTATGACTTGAACTGAAAAAGTTTCTTTACAGACTAGTATACCTAAATCCAGATCCAAACTAATATCTACTGCGAAAGTAACTCTGTCTGTCTGTCTTTTGTTCACGCCTAAACTACTGCAACGATTTTTGAGAAATTTGGTACTGACATAGTTTGGAACTCGAAAAAGGACATAGGATAGTTTTTATACCAAAAATCTGCAGAAAGTCACTATTCCACGTGAACGGAGTCCCGGGCAAAAGCTAGTATTTTAATGTACAATATGTATATTTGTGTTATATTATATTCTTTGATATATATTGAGTACTACCTACTTAGTCGGGTCATAAGTTCTGTCACAAACTTTTGATGTAATAACTTATACGCCTTTTGACAATTATTTAAAAATTATATATGAAATGAAAGGTCATTAAATGTACAATATAATTTTATTTACATTATTCGAAATGCCCTCCCCCATTTTGAACACATGCCCTTAATCTACGCGGCCAGTCATCGATCGCTGCACGCACCACATTCATATCTATGTCTGCCGCTGCTTTAACCAGAGATGCTCGGAGAGACTCCAAATTCGGGTGAGGTTTAGCACAGACTTTTTCCTCCAAATATTGCCATATCTTGTAGTCCAGTGGGTTTAAATCTGGACTAGAAGAGGGCCAGTCTTCATGCCGGATGAAGTCAATTCCACGAGCGATCAACCAGTCTTGCGTACTTCGTGCCTTATGAGCCGGTGCAGAGTCCTGTTGGAATATCCAATGCCTGTTCCTGAACATTGTCTGAGAAAGAGGTTCCACTATGTTTGTTAGGACAGTATTTTGATAAACTTCGGCACTAGTTCTCACACCTTTTTCACAGAAAAACACCTCAGTTACGCCTGAATATGAGACTCCAAGCCAAACCATGAATGAGGAAGGGTAATGCCCACGCTGGACCCTCGCAATACGCGCGCTTGCTTCTTCACTGCTGTGGGCATACACCTTATCATTTTGTTTGTTAAAACTTTCTTCAATAGTAAAAATTTTTTCATCCGAAAAAAGAATTTCGCGGTATTTTTTTCCCGCGTACCGTCGTAGCAAAGCGCGGGATCTGTCTAGCCTAATTTTTTTTAAACGCTCGTTCAAAAAATGTCCTGTCTTTTTACGATAAGCTCGTAGTCCCAGGTCTTCATTTAGTACTCTTTTAACAGTGGTTCTGCTTAGCCCCATCTGCAGAGCTAGGATTTTTTGTTTACGTACGGGATTTCGTTCGATTCGCGCCTTCACTGCTTTGATGACCTTATGTGTCCGAACTGTGCGAGGTCGGCCGCTTCTCTTACGATCTTCGAAGCTTGACTCTTCGGTGTATCGTTTGATAGTACGATAAACAAACCGTAACGTTATTTTCAAATTTTGAAGAATATTGAAAATGTCTTTTGGCGCGTAACCACAGCGGTGCAACGCGATAACCGCGATTCTGTCTTCTTTATTCGACCACTCCATATTTAAAAATGAATAAAAAATAATTTCTTTTTTATTTTCTACAAGCGCGAAAGTTCTATTTTTAAAATAAGTCGAAGAATTTCTGGCCAGTAATCGAAAATTAAAAATATAAGGTTTTGACAGAACTTATGACCCGACTAAGTACTGTTTATATTTAATCACTTACTGATAAATAATGAATTCTATACAAAGGTAGGTCGAATCAAACAGATTTAATATTTAAAGGCTTCCAGACTAAATCAATACGTCCAAGTTTGAAACTGACCTTTGAGGCTGTCAAATCTTGATAATTAGGATTTGCCATTCACGTCTTGGTGTAAAGTTATTTTAGGCGTACCTTCAACTTGTCCCGAAATAGAATTGACTTGCCCTTGGATTGCGTAAGTACCTACTTAAATATATTTTTGAAACTGTCATTTTCAATTTTGAAAATGGTCACAAAACTTCTTTGTTATTTTGATTTTTGAGTTGAAAACAGTCCTTTTTTAGACAAAGGAGATTACAGCAAATAGTTTTGTAATATGAAATACTTACATCCGGTTTCTGAAAGGCTTGTCAACGCTAAAATTAACTAATCCCCTGTTAAATCTCTTGTCAAGTCATCTGATTGGTTGTTGATAATTCAGTCAACCAATCAGATGACTTGACAAGAGATTAAATTGATTTTAACATTGATCGGCCTTTCGGAAACCGGTTGTTAGAGTTGCTTGTTCTTCTACACATATTCCCATTAAGAAACGAGCATTTATTTATTATAGACCATTTGAAAAAAGAACAAGAAATAATGAAACATACTCTTCACCAAACTAAAAGTCTATTCGGGATATTTGTTTGTGTTACTTAATTATTTTACAGACAATCCTATTTTGGTTAAGTTAACACAAACCTTGGCGGCATCAGAAGCGGCGACAGGCATCGAGGTGGTGCGTGCCTTGGACTTGAAGGAGTCGGGGTGTCAGCCAACGATGCCAAGGATCCATGCGCAAGCGGCGCTGCACGTACGTCGAGCGAAGCGGCTCGTAGAGGTGATGGAGATCGGGGAGCTCCACACGCCCCCGCCTCTAAGGTCCGGCCATCAGGGGCGAAGGTGCGTATTGCTGGTGAAGACCCGCGATGGCTCTGTTAGAAAATGCGAAGAAGTTCATAAATGTTTTGAGATAGGAAAATTTATCATTAGATTGTTTTAAATATAATATTAATTAGTATTTATTTCAATTACTATTTATAACGTACTTTGAAATTATACCTTTACATGGATATATACTTTTAGTTCAAAAAATGTTAATGCTATCGATACAATTTGTTAACCAAATTCTGTTCGAGTTATGTTTCTAAATAATCTTTAAAACATGTATATAACTCGGAAATAGCCACATTGGTACCTGCCGGGTTTCGAACTCGCGACGTCTTGCATGAGAGGTTGCGATCTAAACGTATGACGACGTATACATAGCAAATAGAAATAGTAAAATATAAAACTTATTCAAATTATGGCGTGAACCCTTTGACCCCTACTTGAGGTATCCCATGCGTAACACAAAGGCTACTGCGGCAAATCCCATTTCTATTATTCATTGCGTTTTCTCTTTACGTAAAAAAGTTTAACACTTTATATTATCTTTGTTCCAAGAACCATAGTTCTTTTTAAAAGTCCGTTTTTTCTCTTCACAAAGTTCGAAACGAAATTTAAAACTTGGTTCTCGGTGTTGTTTTAAAAATTCATTAGTGAGGTTTCAGAGTTTGTGTTGAAGTATGGATGTTGTTGAAAATGATATTGTGTTACAAACTAGGAAGTAACCAGGTTTTTATATGATTAAATTCTTAACAAAATATTATATTTTTGTAAAGAGACGTTAACATGGAATCTAAGGCGTTTCATGCTTAAGATAAATCTAATATTAATAAATTTGACTGCACGGTTGGCGCTGTGGCTAGCCAACCGGCTGCCGCGCAACGTATCACGGGTTCGATTCCCGCGCAGAACAACTCTTTGTGTGATCCACGAATTCTTGTTCTGGGTTTGGGTGTGATGTGTATGTGAAATTGTATGTCTTTAAACGCATCCACGAATCCACAGGAGAAAATCATAGTGTAGGGCAACGTTTGATGAAAAAATAGAGTCGAAATGTACTTTTTTAAAAATATTCTTCGGGGAGGGTAAGGCGTGTGCTGTGGAAAACGTAAGTAACTATGACGATAGAAGAAGACAAAAATAAAATTTAAAGGCGCTTATGGGACACCGTTATTAAAAACATAAAAGCTAACTTTATATACTAGTCCACTATTCCACGTCATATCCATTTAAAATTCCGTCTATGTCTATGTAAAATACAGAAATAAGCAGTAATATCACCCTCGCTCGAATAATTTAAAATGCGACCGTCCGGCTCTGACGGGCAATGATCCTTGGTATATTCCCTTCACTGTATTATTCATATATTTTTACGCTTACCTCTCTCCAATTTAACACACCTGGTTACCTTTCAAATCTTTCAAAGATATTCAAACTGGACTAGTAAAAATATACGACATTATTTTGAGTATTTTTCTGTTTTTTTTGGTAGTTTTATTTGGCATTTTGATCAAATATTTCCTACATTTTGTTCTAAGGCAATTGCTAGAGGGTAAGATAATTATGGAAAACATCAATATTTAGATGAAAGGTTGTCCCAATGTTTGAATCGATATTTATTCTAAGGCAAGTAGCAAATGAATGAGAATTATGATTTGTTGTGACCTCAAGTTCTGAAGGAATAAATTGCCTTCGAAAGACCAGTAAGGAAGTAACAAAAAATAATCCGTGAATTTGATAATTAATGATAGGACCAAAATATCTATGAAAGCTTTACTTTCAATACATTGATTATTTACCGTTAACTACGAGTATATGTCACAACGAGCATCGATCACATTTCAAACAAAAATACCTTCTCTTACAACTATATTTTGATGGCTAACCTATATCTATATTTATGTGTGTGGGACCTAATATATCGAGCCATGGCTATCGTTATGATTCATAACTTTACGACCTACTCTACGTTCACTACGTAGCTTTCCTTGTTGTGGACTTGAATTGACATTGTATAAAGTCAATAGAGATTCAAATTATATATGTTTGACGCCACTTCTATTTGAAAGGGAAAATCATCATGTCTTCTCCAGCCCTCGATAGGGTAATAGAGAGAGTATCAGTCTTTTACTGACTAAAAACTAGGCCTTCTTACTAGTTCTCCTACTACGGTACGTGGTACATTACTACCATTGCACCCGTGAACCTGGGTAGTTTTGTTTGACGTTATCATCTACTGTTAATTATCCTATTACGAGTAGTGCAGTAAAACTTTTTCCTATTGATCTAATCGTTATGAAATTAAAATCTTTTATATTTTTTATTTCTCTGTAACATTTAATAATTATGTGGTTTTATAAGATTTGGATACCAACAACAGTCCAATTGAAAATTTTAGAATATTTTAGACAGGAGACCAATGTATAGTACGAAATGGATTTTTTGGGGAAAGTCTGGAAGCTGAAAAGTGGTCGTCCATTTTGGTATAGATAATTGGTTCTAAAGAATCATAACTTTGTGATAGCACAAGTGTTAAATTTAAATGTGGTAGTATAGAAGCATATAAGACAACGAAAGAAGGGATGGATGTGTGTGATAATGATGTAAAAGAGAAAGGAGTTTATGACGATACGTCCTGATTGCTGAGAAAGAAAAAAGAAGAAACGTTGTCCAGAGAATTTCTCCAAGAAGCTTGCCAGACATTATGTGACACAACTACCGAGTATCCCATTCTCATGTGGTAGAATAACAGAAATAACTTTCACCTATTGAAATACCACTATCGATTAGTTTCGAAGAAAATTTATAGCCAACTCACTGTTACGTGTTCACAAAAGTATCGCGCACACTAACTTCTTTTATATTTTATTATAATGCCTTGAGGTTCCGAAGTAGGAGATGCTTTGAAACCGTCGATTGTGCTAATGTAACCTGTTACTGCTGCAAGATATATTGCTGTGTAAGAGTTCATTGCGGCCAACCTGTGGCTTGAGGTATGCTCCCCATTCCCCTTTAAGATGGGTGAGGTAGGAAATTGATTTCGTTTCTTATTTCTCAAAAGAAAAGTGAAGTGGTTATAAAAGGTGTTTATAAAAGTACATTTTAGAAGAAATAAAGGTGTTTTTATTTTATGTCCTTAGGACCTTATCATACTAGGGGATTGCGAACGAAAGTGTCGTGTGAAATACTACACGTTTTGTCGTGCGTCAGCAACAAATTCGCTCCGTAGCCGCGGCGTGTCAGTTGGGCCCACCCGTAGCTTATTCATACGTTGCTTGGCTACAAGTAAAGGCACTTAGATACAATAAAAAAATGACACCTAAATATTATCATGTCCATTAAAAACTTACTAACAAAATTAATAGATTGTTAAATACCCAATATCTTTAATACTGTTTCTACCCAAATCGATACTCTTGTATTAAGATGAAAAGTGATGTAACTTAGAAAACATCTTCACGTGAGAGATGAAAATTTAATATCAGTGACCTTATTAATTTCGCAAGGCTGACGTCAGTATATCCGACTCAACTGTATTTTATCATGAACACAATAATCTTCCACGGAATCCTTAAAAACCTACATTTTCATAAACGTCTTTGTAGAAAAGCCAAAAACACGTCAGTATCGATAGTTTGCACATCGCGTGCGAGTCATGATTGCTTTTCTTTTAATGCCAAGAATGAGTTTATCTGCTATTACAATCGCTGGCTGTGAAGCCGTTACAATCGCTGCCTGTAAAGCCATTGCTAAATTAGGCAGTCGTGAAAGGAATTGAACACTTTCCGAACAATAATGTTTAAGAAAGACGGTAGGTAAAGGCGGGTTCCGATTGTTTTTGCGGTATTCTTATGTAGTTTTGCCATAAAGCTATGAAAACCAACATATCATGGTCTCGCGTTGTATGATCTTTTTGCACTTTCAATAGTCAGTTTATACTAGATTTTCATAGCTTGATTATTTTTACTCCATATAGCCATGAGTCAGCCATCATCATTGACTGTGTGATCTCACCACACAAATTGCATGGACATGAAGCAAGCGAATAATTTAGTCTTATAGGACAAAGCTGTATGACGAGTCTAACCTAGATCTATTAATTTTAAAAACCGAAGTTACAAGGAATTAATGTACTACATCACTGGCCCGAAAGAGGAGAAGGAATGAGGTGGGTTTTTAGGTAGTAGGTAAGACTCTGACACTTCTACATTAAAAACATGATTTTTAAGTTGCGATATTAGCTTAAGTATTTGGAGATAAAATACTAAATAAATCTATTCCGAAAATAAATAATTTGTTAGTTCTACGAAACACAATCTGCGATTATTAAAATATTGTATGCTACGATTCCTAACTCCATTTTCAATAAAAAATCCAATAAAAAAATGGCCCACATTTTTAACGACTGCAAAATTCGACAATATTGACGCGAGGCTGCTAAAATGAAAATGTAATAGTGTAGGTATGTAGGTACCTACTCGCAGCGTTACGCGAACACAGTCCGAAATTCTATTTAGGTCATTTAAAATAAAATTATTCGTTCGCTTTACTTAAGTATTCGTTTATATCAAGGCTATATGATTATGCGAAATTTCAATGAATCATACCTTATTATTACATGCATACGAGTATGTATATGTATGAATCTTCGAACGATTAGGCATAAAACAGTTTGCATAATCCTACTACTATTATAAAGGCGAAAGTTTGTAAGTATGGATGTATGGATGTTTGTTACTCTTTCACGTAAAAACTACTGAATGGATTTGAATGAAACTTTACCACAATATAGCTTATACATCAGAATAACACATAGGCTACAATTTTGGAGGTTTCTAATGTGAGGTCGTAAAAAAACACATTTTTTGCGCTTACGTTTCCAAAGCGAAGAATCTGCATTTTTA